GTAAATTTGCTTATGCGAGCAAGTATCATCAAATCTTGTACAAGACCACTTTTTGAAAAAGATAATCAACAAAACCATTTTTGCTCATTTTTAAAAAAATTCACTTTCTTTTTCTTGTTTTCATTTAGATGTTAATCAATATTCAATTATTGCTGGATTGGCGTCAAACCCTGAGGTGAGTTTGCAACCAGAATGAGCAAAACGATTTTTTAAAAAGAGATCAATTTTTATGTTGAGCTAATGGTATTCTTTCCAACTTTCAGTTTTTTTGTAGTTTTGAGCATACAACATTTTATAGGCTTGGACTTTTAAAAGGTATAATCAGTTTTAATTTAAATCATGATCAGTACCCTGATTTCCGATTTTTCGGTTTTGCAGTGTTTTGCATTCGTTTCCTACAATCTAACACCTGTTTGGCTTTCGATGAGGACAGCTCTTACCAGCCAATTTAGGGTGATGGCAGAGCAAATTATTTCAATAATGGCAAAAAGGTTGTTTGAAAAGAAATAAAAAGGTTTGGATTGAATTTTACTTTTTTTCCAACAATGACTTTGTATGAATTCATCTTCAAGTTAACGTTCGTCAATATCGAGTGAGATTTAGGGAAGTGATTTTTTTTCAAATGAGTCGTTTTTAAAATTATTTTATTTGTTTTAATCTTATGGGATTCAAGTATTTATCTTGGTTTGTATATTTGTTTTTCTTGCCTTGGTTTTTGAAGTTAATTGTTAAAATTGGGATGATATCACAGGTTTACTGAGTAAATAACTTTGTGCTTCTTGTAGTTGTGTAAGTTTTTTTGCATTTTCTTGAAGATTTTTCTTGTTTTTTTTCTATAATAGTTAAAGAAGCAACGAATGAAGATTTATAGCGCAGACTATCGCAAATGGTTATACAAGTACAGTTTTTCAATTTTTTTTTAATTAATTTATTGAAATTTTGCATTTTTTGTCCTCGCCATTTTGACCGGGCTATTTTAACATTGTGGTCGAATTTTTTAATCAATTTACTTATATCAGAAACGTCTCCCATAGCTTAAATCACTCATTTCAATAGAAATTGTATCAAAAATGTTGCAAATAAAGTATTTAATCGACTTTTTTCAGAACAAAAGTTTGTTGTTTTAACTCAATTTTAACTCAATTTAATTTACAAGAAAAAAAACTTAGTATCTGAGTTTTCATTGCAAAAATAGGCATTCTTTTTCATGGAAGCACTAGCATACTTAGGCTTTATTTGGATTACAAGCCGCCAAAAAATCTACAAGATTAAATGTTTTTTCTTGCATATGATTTTACAACCAAAGCAGATGAAACCATTGAGAATTTTCAATCAAAGTTTTCCACCAAAGACGCTCTATTGGTGATTTCCAAGTCAAAAAACAAAGTCGGATTATTGAAACAAAATGACAAATAAAAATTGTCCGGTAAAATGAAAGTTTGAAACGCAAGTTTATTAAATTAGTTTTGTTGATTTTTTCTGAGTTATTTCAAAAAATGACGTTTCTTAGCAAAAAAAAGTTTAATCATCGCGCGCTATCTCCTCACAATTTCGTGATATTTGTACCGAATAGAAGTTCTAGTAAACTGTAGGTATAATTCGGCTCGTTAAATACAAATTGATTTACTAATATTAAGGTTTCGATCCAAAATGAATTCCAATATAGGCTAACACATGGTTTTGGATTAAAATATGGATTTACTTTCGTGAAGGCTGTTTTCTGCCAGTCTAAAAAAAAATTTTAAACCCTATAAACTGAACTGTATCATAAGACCCCACAGCATCACAACATCATGAAACTGATTGAAGAAAACTTTAATTGAATTGTCCAGAAAACTGCAAGGATATCAAATTTTTCTTATAGCAGCAAAAATTGTCAAATCTGGTAATGGAACACTTTATTTTACAAAATTTAATCAGCAAAATCATTTTTTTTTCATTTGTTTCAAGTTAACTTTCTTTGTCTTTTTTTTCTTCTAAACTGTAATCTATGTTCATTTTTTGTTATACCCAGAGATAAGATTGCAACATGAATGTGCAACATGAATTTTCAAAAACATCATTTTTTTATGTTAACTAGCGGTTTTCATTCCAAGTTTCAGCTTTTTTTAAATTTTGTGCATACAACTTTCAATAGGAGTTTGGATTTTTAAAAGTCATAATCAGTTTTCTTAAATACTTATTAGTACCGCAAATTTTGATTTTTTCGTCTTACAGTGTTTTGCATTCGTTTTTGACAATTTAGCGTCGGTTTTACGATAGATTTGGATGTTTTTTATAAGCCGACATAGGGTGACGTCATAGCGAACGGTTGCAATATTGGTAAAAATTTATTTAAAATTTTCGCTTGGTGTTTAGTTTTGTTTTGAAAACTATTATTGTTTAATTTCACCTCAATGGTAACGCTTTGGAAGTATCGAGTGAAATGTAGGGAAGTAAATGAATTGTTTGTGAATTTATTGAATTTTTCCATCTTAAGGTATTCATGTTTTTATCTTGGGTTGTTGATTTGTTTTTCTCGCCGCTGTTTTTGAAATAAATTGTTTGCATTTAGTTGATTTTGCAGCTTAACTGACTAAAAAATGTGGCGTCGACCATTTGAAAAATGGGGAGGAATTTTGTATTTGGGCGTATTTTGGTTTTTTCCATGTTTTTCTTTTTTTTTAGTTTTTCATGCAAAATCAGCTACCACAAAAATCAGCTACAACACTTCGGAGAGAGTTGAGTGATAAATAATTTTAAAGCCCATTCAGTCGTGATTCGAACGACCTTAAAATTTTTTGAAACATCATCCCAGTTTGAGAAAAAAAGGTTTGAAGTTTTTTATTTTTCGTCTTATTTTGAGCAATTAAAATGAGCGAGAAATCTTGCAAGAGCTTATTTTAATGGCCTAAAAGCTTACAATAGCTTAATTCTAGCCGTGAAAACAATTTTACGCGAATAAAATTAGTTTTTTTGAGTGTCTTAGTTCTTTTTTTAAATCAAAAACTTCGAAATTTCAAAAAAGACAGTAAAAACTGATGAAACTTTTGAACAGTTTTAATTTTTGTTTGTTTTCAAGTCAAATTGTAAAATAATTTTTCATCGAATTGCTTAGTTTATCATGACTACCGAATATTTTTAGTCACTTTTTTTGTTCAGATCTATTTATCACGCGACACCGAAAAAAAATCACAGTAATTTGAAAAAATAATTGTTGTATTTTTAAGACTTTGGTGGGAACATTTTGTGCTAGTTACATGGTAACCGGCAATCCTTGTTGCACTTTTGTAGTTGCTTAAACTTTTTGTTTTTTGTGAAGTTTTTGGTTGTTCTAGTCTTTTGAATGAAAAAAAAAAATGAAGGTTTAAAGACCCAGTTAGCGCTAAAAGTGGTACAGTTGATAATTGTTGAAAAATTTTCCGAACAATTTTTTTGATATTTTGCGATATTTGTAGTTCACAGTTTTGAACGGGATAGTTCATCATAGGGATCAAAATGTTTTAAAGAATTTGATTATAACCAAAACTTCTCTGATGGCTTAAGTAACTGATTTCAATTAATAGTTATTAAAAATTAAAAAGAAGAGGTTTAATTGACCTTTTTCAAAACAAAACTTTGTTGTTTCGTCTCAATTTGGTATTTTCATAGAAACAAATAACAAGGATTAAAAACCTATAATGAAAATTATCTGTTTTTTAAATAAGTTTGGTTGAGTTAGAAAATAATTAATTTATTAGCCCTTTATTTTTTCAATCGAAACTGTCCGGAAACAAACTTGGTAGCTGGGTTTTCATCGCATCTGTAAATAAAATTGCAATCACTTTCATTAAGTGTTTAAGATGCCGTTTCCATCTACTCATTACTTATGGTGATGAGAATATTCATAGTGAGAATATGACTTTGAGTTGATGCCATGATACTTACTTTTCACAAAATTTGAATTTTTTGAGCCTAATTGATTAGCTCTCTACAACAAGCGTTGATTGAAAACGGGTAAAACACCAATTATCTTATATTTGTGTTTCTCAAACCCCAGAACTTCACAAAAAATAATTACATTACAATGTTTTTAATTTTGAGGCAGGGAATCAATACTTTTCAGATGAAATAGAAATTTCGTTAGAAATCTAACAAACTAACTATCGATCAAGTTAATTCATGTAGTTAGGTACCGAACCATTTAAAACACAATCCAATTGAGCAAAAACGGTTAGGATTAAAATTTATACCAAGATTTCTCTTATTCAGACAAAGCCCTGATTTTTGACTGAGCATTAAGGTATCTGAAATTTGCTAAATTAAAAAGGTGAAAAAAAAGGATTTTCAAATCATCATTTTGGAGCGCAGTTTAAGCACAAATTTATTTGCAGTTTATTTGCGTGCATCGCATGATTTTGGAATCAATCTTTCTTTAGCCTCATAAATTTATGTTCCGTCAACATTACGCGTGGTAATTGAAAACTTGTGAGAAGCGTTCATGAATTATCCCAAAAAGCATTTTTCAAGTTCCCATTGCTAAACAAGAACAAGACTGCTCGTATATCAGAGCAAAGCGCATAATTTAGTCTAGAACATTGCAAATTTTCAAACCCCCAGAACTATACAAAAAAATATCGGAGGTAAAATATCTTTTTACATTTGAACTCAAAAAGTCTACCGAGTATAACTCCAACTTTATTCTTCAACCGAGTATAAAAAAATTTGTTGACAATTATTTCGATCGGTGAAAATTGACTGAGTAAAAAAAAACCACACCGAGCATAATTATTCCATTTTCTTCGAAAGTCGAACAAAAAATAACAGAAAAATTATATTTATTTGTTTTTGAGCCCAAGGTCTAATTTTTTTTCGAATGGTTTAAGAAATGCAGCCTCAGAAAGAAAAATGCGGCGAGCACAAGCGTCACGCCGTTTTCATTAAAAATGGGGGGAAACTTTCGGAACAGAAACAATTCGATTTTTTGGTGCATCAATTGCACATAAATTTGGCCTAGCTACTTTTCTTGGTCGTTGAAAAAATTTGAGCTTGAAAAAATAGTAAATTGTTCTGAACATTCATGCCGCACTGCTTTTGAGATGAGCGAAATTGTAGTCAAATTAGAGACTTGAACATTTTGAGAAGATAAGAGAGACAGAAAAAGAAAGATTGCAATTCTACCTAGGACACCGAAACACTACATGTACTACAGAGTCACAATTTTAGTTGCTGCCAAGCTGTTGAAAATATATTTTGTTCGTTCCTCGAATCTGACCAAGATTAATTAGTTGCTCATTTTGATATCGGAAACCTTTTTTTTAAGTACTTTTAACATAGGCTATACTGTCAAAAATTGAATTAAACTAAAAATAACTATTTTTTGACCGATAATAGCAAGCTAAGTCAACGATAGTACCAACAATTTGGCATTTACTATGGAGTAGAATACAGTTCGAATATCAACTACAAACTCGGTTCCATTCAATTGTGTTCGAGTCATCATAGCTGGAATACAATTGGTTGCTAGAACATTTACAGAAAAAACTTGATTGCTGAAGTAACATAAAGCCTATTTCCAAATACGCGCTAAAAAATTTTATCTTTCAGTTTCATTTAAGGGCGGGTATTGATGTTCCTTCATATTGTCTATGTATGGTATGTGACGTTATCGTAAAACAAAATAGAAACTAGGGCACAAAAAGATAAATATAAATATATGAAAGATAAGATTAGGTAAAAATGAAACTAGAAATATAGCATCAAAATAGCCCAGCTCACAAAATGTAAATTAGGAATTGGAAAAAGAACAAAAAATTGCGCATAGCTCTCTGATTAACAATGTAATAAGACAAATTCAAAATAGCATTAACTGATAAACAGAATGTTCTAGAACTATTAATTAAATTGCATTTCCAAGTAGCAGTAATAACATCAAAACAGCTGCATGAGACACTTTTATCCACAAATTTGTCGAAGTTTTCCAATTTTTACAACATTGATTTAATTTCAAGTTTTGTGAGTCATCGTTGAAGTTTTGGAAGATTTGCATTTGCTGGATCAAGGGAGAATCATCAGGAACTGCAACATCTTTAGGCGTTGCAGAGGGCTTAAGATGTTTTGTTTGTGCATCATTTGTTTCTCGTTATCGCTGCATTACAGCAACAATAAACTCGTTTACAAATCATCGCCGTTTGACATATGACATTTCTAGTGACCTTGACTTGTTGTGTTCAAAAAAGGACAAAGGACTACTGGGTTCCTACGAGGATGCGGCGGTTGGTGTTGAAACGGGAGTGCTGGCTGCAGATGAAGTCCCGCCATTCACTAGAGATGCGAGGGTAGATGGGGCGGAGTTTTCGGACGAGGAACCTGGGTTGAATTTAACCTAAATCAGAAGTAATAAGGTTATTACTCGATGATTGTTAATGAATGCTTGATCAATAGGCTAAAAAAAACATCATACCATTTTCATATCCTTTTAAAAAAAAGATAGCTGTATGATTAATTTAGATCTCAGAGCTTGGAAAACTGATGTTTTTTTCCATTCCTTAATAATTCCAACCATTTGACTGATTTTAAAATGAAGAAAAAAAGAATGAATTAATGAACATGGTACCTACAATGCGCCTTGATACCTACAATATCACATTTTAGGAAAACCACTTTGGGTTTTGACAACCATTTTACGTAAGCAATTTTGGGTACGCTTAGCTTTTTACGCGTTCATATTTTCACTAGAAAGATCACAAAATTAAAAATTTTGATTTTTGAATATAACTCCCCCCTCCTCTCCAAAAAAAAACAATGAGTAAATCCCGGTCATACCTCGTAGAGCGTGGCTTTTTTGTCGCCTGAGCCTGTGACGAGGTACTTGTCGTTAGAGGAGATGTCACAACACAACACACTGGCACTTTCCTTCTGCTGTAACAAATTAGCCCCGTAAGGGCTCCTCCACGCATTCATTGCATTGTCTTTGCCGGTGCTGATGAACCACTTGCCTAAAACGAAACATAAACTTTGTGTTAAATTGTTGACAACATCGGTGACCTTGAGCACTAGTTGCTTAGCTAAAGCTAGAGGTACCTATTTGATATTTTTATGAATATATTGAACTGATGCGGGAGGAATGCGTGATTTTCAAAATTAGAAAAATTGGACTTTGGTTAAAGCCATAGCGGTTTCTCTATTAAAGTAAGGGATTCTCCCATATTTAGGGCAGATACCTACAAAACGGTTTTTTCAATTGAACTCTTAATGTCAGATTTGGTTGTTTAGTTTTCGAGAAAAGCTAACTTTCCAAAAAAAAAACGGTCAAATCAAAAAATTATACTTTTCCTAAATCCATAGAGATTCTCTGTATAAGCATGGGAACAGGCCCTTGCGCAGAAAAGATCGCTATTACTTGGTTTTTCGATTGAACCCTCAATCTCAGGTTTGACATAGTACTTTTCAGAAAATGTGCAGAAATTTCCAAAAAACGACAAAAACTTCAAAAAAAGGACCTTTCCTATGGCCTTGTCACCTTTTCTACAAATATTAGGATATTACTGTTCATTTAGAAGATCTGTGCATCATTATCTTTTGATTGAGTTCTTAGAACCGGTCAAAAATTTAACCTCAAAAACTATGATGCAACGTCATAGTCATATGCCCGCTACCTGTTCTTTCAATTGAATCCTTAATCTCAGATTTTACAGGGTACCTTTTCAAAAAATCCACAAAAACGGGGCAAACATTCTTCCATTGGGATTTTAGAAGAACGTAGAAAGTGGCGAAAGGTAAAAGAGTCAATTTGAGTACGCAGGACTACAGGGTAGCAGTCGGTCTTTCCAATGGCACCACTTATTTTGCAAATTAATAGAGTAGCTTTTGAGAGAAAATAAAATGTTTGTTGAAATTTTTCAACGTCTCAAAAAATACAAAACCAAATCCCATTGAGGACAATTAATCGGTCAAAGGGTTTTTTTTCCGTTATTTCCCCCCTTCGCACCCTAATCTCGAGAGCAAAAACATCAATTACAAGATATTTAGAGGCAACTAAAAAAAACAAGTAAGGCCATCTGCTGTGCAAGTAGCACTTCGTTGGTTTTTCAATTACAGGGAAACTTTTCACTGGGTACAAAAAAAATCAGCTTGGTGCAAAAAATCTTTACCTGAGTTGGCGAACTTGAGTGACAGTACGCAGCTGTCGTGGTAGTTTATCTGGTACTTGTCAGGTTTGTTTGCATGTAGCACCTCCACTCGACTGTTCTCCATGCCTACTGCTATGTAGTCGTCTGTTGGACTGCAACCGAGGGAGAAGATCTGAGCCGCAAAGTCAGTCTCCTTCACCTGTAGCGCAAACGCAATCAAAATTCAAAATGAAATTAAAACATTTAAAGACATTACTCGATAGGCAGCTAACTGGTCATTTCGGCGTTCTTTCAAAATGGCAATTTCAAAAATCATAATTAATTTTATAAATCATGGGCAAGTTGTTCTTTTTTTGACAACTTTTTTTACGAAATATAATTTTAGTGCCATCATTCGTTTAAATCACAATTCACGTCATCAGAATTGCGTCATTTTAATAACATTATAGAGTTTATTTTGCGTAAATGCCATTGAATATCAATAGACTGGTCTCATTATCAAGTCAAAATCAATGAAAATTTAAGAAATTCGAAACCAAGTCGAAAATTTTAACCAATTTTTTTCAAGGTCGAGGGAAAATTTCTCCATGGTATAAAGAGCGAACGGTAGAAAATGTTATATAAGCCAATCAGCAAAAAAGTGAAAATTAACTCTCAATTTAAGCTGTTTGAAGGATACTTTGAGAACAAGACCTTTTTTTTTCTTCACTCTCAAAAATGTTCACGTGTTTTTTAAGAAAACTGTTTAAAGGGAACTGTTCACGTGTTTACTTGAGCAAGTCTCCTGAAAAAGGACCACGAGAGCAAATTTAATAGTTCAATTCATGAGGGGAAGGACCATCATTCGAGCTGTTCATCTCTTTACGGAGAACTGCTGTAGTGTCCATTTTAAGAACAACTTGCAAATTTTTTTGGTGTTTCTGGGCTGAGAATTGTTGCCTCTACCGTTTGCAACGAGCACGAATCATCGTGAGCCTCTAAGTGCCGAACGACTTTTTAACTAATAGACGGAGAAATTAGCGACTTCGCCATTTTTTCTCAAACAATTTTCTATGGTTGGAAACTTTTGGCCATTCGACCTTTGTGCCTTGAAAAATATCTCTGAAATCTGAGGTCATTTCTAGTATAGAGAGTTGCGAAAAACTTAAACAGACAAAATTAATTAAATTGACCTATTTCATACCATTTTTCCGTGCTAAGGTCAGCTAAAAATTCAAATTTGCATGATTATTTCTGTCTGTTCCAACATTTTGCTACTTAAATATTCTATTCAACTGACCTGTTGGTTCTGGGCGATGTCCCAGCAGCGGACTGTATTGTCTAGTCCCCCCGTCCAGAGGAATTTTCCACAGTGAGACAGATCTATACAGCTTGCCCCGTCTTCGTGTCCAGTCAGACGACTAAAACATGATGGGTTCATCCAGGCGCGGATCTAGGATTTTTTCGAGGGTTTTTCGAAATTTTTGTCATTTTTAAGTCGATCAAATTGATTTTCGAAGCTCTGCCAAAACACAAAAAAAATCCCTATTTCAAGTACTGTATATCATTTGTTTATTTTTATTGCCAAACTTCAAAAAGCGTCACTTGTTTGGTAGATAATTTGTAATTGATAAAATTATTTGAGGTGTTAAGAAGTTTTAACTGCTGCAGTACTCATTAACATACTTAGGGAGGGTTATCGACGATATACATTCCCCCTTTTACACAGAAACTTTGCCCCTTCTGACCAAAAGGTGTTCCTTCAGAAATATAATGCGAATAACATTTTATATGAATATCTTCAACACTTTAAAGACTTTCCAAGTCGCGCAGCTGGTTTTCATAGATCTTAAAAAGGATATGCTATCTTTGGAACAAGATGGATTGAAGATAACTGAATGACTGGTTTAATTGAACTGATTCGTTGTGATTTAATCTTAAATAGTGACCAGAATTGTTCCCTAGATAAATTTAAATTACCTTTCTCATATTTTAGAAATACCATTTTCTAAAAAGACTTAATTAATTTAACTATTTTTATCTGATATCTGAACTGCAATTTTGAGGATTTTACTGTGTTTTTTATTTAGTAACATGATTTTTAAATTATCTAGTATGACAAATAGGGAATACGAAAGGATCACCTAATGAGAAATGTATTCACGCGACAAGGTTTTTATAACTTCCCTTTATAACTTCCTGTCACATATCTTTTGTTCACGCTGGACTGAACCGGCAACCAATCAATCAGGTCTTGCTATAGAAGACACCTTTTTATGACCCTATGAGAAAAGAAGCCCGCTTCACACGAAAAAAAGCTGCAAAAACTGAAAACTGTATACATAATAAACTCCCCCCCCCCCCCCCCCCCCCCCGACCTGTGACAATTTACTTGGAAAGCAAATTATCTACTATAAGCAAATTATATTCAGGCATTCGGATTGTGATGAAAAATGACAGGCTGAAAAAGTCCCAATTTTGAATTTTTTTTTACAAAATCTTGGTCTCTTCTAACGTTTCTAAACCACATGCCAATTTTTGTACATAAACATTAAATTTACAATGTAACCATTGATTTTACAAAACTTTATACAAAAAAGATGGGTTTGTAATAGCGTATTGCAGCCATCAGTCAATTTTTATGAAAAATGCACTACTACGACAAAAGCTGCGAAACACAGAAAACGGCATGTGGTGGGAAATGGTAGAAGATCAAAATCTTGATAAACCACTGGTTTGACCCCTAATTTGAATTTGAGTTGATGTCTTAAATTAAAGTCAAACGAACCTTTTTTTGTTTGAAATCTTCCAAAATCAAACGAAAAAGTTCCAATTTTATTTCAGCATTAGGAAAAAGAACGATGTTATAAAGCTTTCATCAACGAGGGAGCAACCGATCCTTTTTGAAAAATAAGTAAAATAAATACTACGCTGAAATAATATCCGCATGCTTCTATCTCCAATAAAAGTAGAGTTATTCTATCGCCAAAAAATAGATCAGTGGTTTATCTGGGTTCTGAAAAAATTGGGGGTCTTCTGAATCTTCTGAAGTCCATGATGCTGATTATGAAGTTTAGAGTGGAGATTAAGAGATAATCTCGTAATGAGAGCACAGCGCACATTGACAATCAGATCACGTTAAGCTAAGATAATACTGCCTCAAATGAAATATTAAGTCGACTCGAATTAACCCTATCATCCATACTAGCCAAGGCACAAATCAAAAACGGAACTTGCAAAAAACACCAAAACAATTCTTACGCTTGCCTACAATGTATAATTTGCAATGCTGAACAAAATTAAAATTAAAATTATTTTCCTCAACTTTTTTTAACTTATAACTCTTGGAAAGAATCATTTCAGACATTTACCAAAAAATAGATTACCCATAAAAGAGTATTCAATTCTAATAAAAATCACATTTGCCCTAAATGTGAAATGAAATTAGGGTGTGCATCGTGTACTTTTTGCAGGCTTACATTCGCTCATTTTCTGGTGCATTTTCTTCCAACATAATGTTTCCAAGGCGCATGCATTTTTTTCTGATTTACTTTAATGAAAAAGTAGTGTTTTTTTTTGAAGAATTTAAGTCCCCGGGGAAATAGTGTTTTTTTTTAAAGAATTTAAGTCCCCGGGGAAAGCAAAGTAAAAGCAATCTCCCAAATGCGAGGAGCCAATTAGACTCCGGTCCAATTAAGCTAGCTAGCTGTTCATACAAAAGAGCCGCAAGGCCTACTTACAACAACTAGGGCCGACTATGGCGGGCGGACGAGGGGAGGGGTAGCAAAATATCAAAATAAGCCTTATAAGTAATCTTGTATAAGAATAAAATAGTTGTAGACAACATTGACAACCTTTTACTTCAAATAACCATGACCCTTTTTATTGCAAATTATTGTCACATTTAGAAAAAAACAGCCTTTATGCACAAGCATAAATTCTGTGCCTTTAAAACAACAGCCCAAAGTACAGGTATTTCTTATTTGCAAAATTGTTTACATTCCTGCTATTTCGCTACTTGGTTGTTTATGTCACATTAATTTAACGCAAAGGACCACAACAAATGACTAGGTTGAAAATAGGTGAAATGATAAATTGTATTTTATCAAAAAAATCAGACCCAAAGCTAAGTATGCAAAAGAAAATTTGCAAAAAAGTATCGCCTAATATCTTCATGGGTATGGTGTACCTTCATAAAATTTGGATCCCATATTATAGCTTGAGTTGGTGAAAAAAAACTTTTGGTCCAACTTTTCTTTATCTCTCAAAATTCGTTAAAAATAGTCCAGTTATGTACGACTAAAAATTAATCCAATAACAAAGTTACAATAGCAATAGGTCCATAGAGCCAGAGAACCCCGAAAAACGAAAAAAAGACATTTTAAAGATCTCAAAAACTACGGTTCGCACTAAATTTCAGATCACATCAAAAAATCATGGCCATCCACAGCTATATGCCCTTAGATAAATCATAATAAGACAATAAATATAACACCACTGGAAACAAAGTGAGAAAATTTAAATGTTATCAGCATGAATTTATAAACTAACTTTAACCCATTTGACAATCCAGACCCTTCGAGTCCAAGTAGTCTGGAAGCATGCAGGAGTACTTAATCTACTTTCAAACCAGAATGAATTCTACATAGTTGTCTGGATATCCAGAAGCACCAATGAACATATCAATGTCTTCGTGGACCGGTTGTTCTAACTTATTAGTAAATACTTGACAAATCCCAATATTTGGATCAATACAACTGGAACACGTGCCAATAAGATTACTGTTTGTTCTAGATTGGGAGGAATTAAAGCACGGTGTTTACATTAGTGCACTGGTACTTAAATCTGGTCAACCGATAGCTGCAGGGTTTCTGGAGTCAATAGTGTCGAGACGTGTCACCTCATTGCCTTAGGAAATGGCGAGGAGTTGAATTGGAACAAAGTACCCAAGCTAAGAACATGGGGTTTAAATTCCGTTTTAAGTACCTGACCTATCAAAACGGGGCCGCAAAATTTCACAAGTACTATAAACATATTTCAGATTGAATGACCAGGTTTTTATAGAAGACGCAATACAAAACTAAACTTAGCGTGTGGAAACCTAATCGAACCGATTCCCGGTGAAAACATAGATTTATCAGATAAGCGAGCATTTTAGTTTAACTTAATCATTTTAAATAATATTGGCCGAATTATCAAACTGATTCATTAAATCTTAATGAATTAGTTTGATAATTCGGCAGACACTATTTAAAATACTTTCATTCTGCCCGATTTTTTTAACTATGAAGGACTTAAATACCGAAATAAATAGTAAATGAACAAAAAAAACAGACAGCTCTCACTCTTAGCCATTTGTTCAGCTGTTTTTGAATTATTACCAATTTAATAAACCAACTGAACGGCACGATAACAAACTGCTGCTTTATTTGTACAGTTAACACTGATTCTGCTTGCTCATAATCAAACTAAAACCAGGCTAATATTTATTCTATAAGCAAAACGAATTGCTAGTAGTGCCTCGACGTTTAATGTCAACATAACAGTTAAGCATAGCAAATACAATCATCAGAAATAGCATCGATAAGGACAACTATCAATGATTAAACAAAGTAGGGTCAATTTAACAGACCTAAAAACCATCAAACAATGTCAGAACAACTTAGAACTGACAAATTCATCTCAATTGAAACTATTCCTCTAAGGTTTTCAAAAACACTTAGATTACAAATAGTCAGCATATAGAACAGTCAAAAATTGAGTTGGGCTTATGCAAGAATGTGCCAAACTCAATTTTTGCTTTGCTCAATATTTGTCTAGTTTTTTTTCCGGGTCCGATTTAAATTCTTCTTCACCTCCCGAACCAGTTAAAAACAATCATAATGGGTAAAAAATGAGACCGGTAAACCACAGGAAAACCTATTGATTTCAGTTTCTCCATATTTTGATGAAAACTGTAGGATGGAGGACAAAGATTTAGAGGCACTTTGCTCTGATTTGCGATTGTCAGATGATGCTGTTATATAAATATGACTACACAAAACAAACATCTCAGAGTCACAAATCGCTCACTTAGACGTGATAGATTGATGGATCGAATCCAAAAAAGGAACACTTGTTGTGGGAGGAGCCATTTATTCTGATCAACTTCTCAGAGAATCTACAAAAACCAAGTAACTTGACTAAGTTTAAAAAAATGGGTTCTGACTTAATAGTAACAAATAACAAACAAGACTGCTCGTATCAGGGCAAAGCCCTGAATGTTCCGACTGCCCTTTAATTGGTCTCGGATAATTTGCTAAATTAAATATTGGCAAAACTATGGTTTTTAGGCTGATAATATCAAAAATGAAGTTTTGCGATTTGAGTCGTGTATGGAGTTAATAAAACCAATTGGCTGCCTCAATTCAATTTGGAACGGTTTTGTAGTGCGGGATAATGACACAAACTCATTCATGACAGGTTACTATAGTTGTGTGCACACTCAGCTGGCCCATGCAGATCGAGAGTCGGAACAATAATAGCTCCTTCATTAAAGACAACAAAAGAACTTACTCAAGTGAAAACAAGAATAGCCGGTTGCTGTGCAACTAGCACTGAATGTCCTGACCACAGTAATTAATGGTAATTTTTTAGTAAAGTGACTGAAATTGAAAAAAAAACTGCAAAATGAGAAATAATAATAGCCAAAAAAAACTAACTTATAGAGGAATTAAATTGAGTTTCTCAGCCTTAAGACGAGAGGCCAAGTTTTCACAAACTTTGCTAATTAAGTCTGAAAATCGAAAGCATTGAGACCAGTTTTTCTCGACACTGAGACGAATTTTTTGCACTTTGTCAGAAACAAACTCACAATCAACAGCCTTTCAATCTGACACCACACTTGATTTCAACGAGCTTTCATTGAGATAGTCCAAATTGGCTATAAAAAATTTAAAAGGACTACGTCATAGTTCCTTCCTACTTTTAGGAACAAAAACGCATCAATTATTATTCCTCTTTTGAAAAAAAAAGGAAAAATTAATTATGCTTGAGGTCGTTTTTAATCACTCATATTTTGACTTTTTAATTAAGATTTTATGACAAATTTTCGTATACTATGTGAACGATATCGATGCATTGAGCTCCCATTTAGATAGATAAAAATTCGGAAATACTTTTTTGTCAAATAATGGAGAATTGGAAATTGCCAACTTAATAATAAATGCGCGCAAACACTTCAATTATCTATTAGCAGGTAGCAAAGTTGGCGTATAAATCTGGTTCTGGTCCATAAACCATTCCAAATTTAACTGACGCACGCTAATTGATCCTCAAATAATTTTAGCAACTGCAAGTGTGGGGAAAGATTTTTTCATTTATTTGCTAATCAAAAAATTACTTCAGACACCCTACAGAAAAACAGAACATTCAAAATTTCGCACTGATCCGAGCAGTCTTGTTATTTTTTTTATTGCGCTGGGGTTTAAACTCACTTATGAGACGCCATTAAAAGTGAAACGTCAGTTATCACCTCATTTCACTCCTCACTTTCGAAAGCGTCTTTCATAGGGCTTCATGTTTACTGAACTGATTACTTAAAAAATGAACATATTTTTTCTTCATACCTAACCTTGTGACACCAATTATGTTTAACAATAGCTAATAAGCATGCATGCCCATTTATATTATGATCGGACATTATGAGCCAATGTTTAAGTAAAGAAAATGGCAAGTGGAAGAAAGAAAAAACGCCTGCGTGATCTATCGTCGATATTGTGAGCTCATTGTTGATGTTGTGATGACATCTTTGGTATTATGTCGTCATCAGTGTTATGCACTCGATGCTTATCGTGCAATCTGGAGAGAGGGAGCAAAAAGAGCCAGACCTTTTATCCGCTAGAAACAGGACCGTCAAACGAACCACGCACACATCAAAGATTTTTTTCGACGGAATTGGGACGCCATGTTTTCAAAAAAAAACTTTTGTCTTTTAAAACGCGGACCAAACTTTTGTAAGAACAGGCTAAAAAAGCTATGTGATGGTTTGCTTGATTGATTGACAGGAGGAGAATGATTTGGAGACTGACTTGATGATGATTTGGTTGTGCAGATCCCACACCTGAATGACTCCGTCACTGCAACACGAGTAGAGTCTCTTCCCGTCTGGACTGACTGCCAGAGCATAACAGGCCGCAGCCCCACTGTCCAGCTCGCCCATCTGTTTCGGACCTCCCTATATCAAGAGAAAAATTGAATCAATTCGCGAGCAGATATTACAAACAAGGATAGCCGGTTGCTGTGCAAAAAGCACAGTGTTGAAACCACAATGATTGAAATTCAAAGAAATAAGCAAAAAAAATAATTTTTTGTTAGATTTTTTTTCAATAAATGACGATTCAAATGGAGAAAAAGCTTATTAATATAAAAATCTCAGTCGAAATAAATTGAGAGTTCAGTTTCTCATTTGTAAGTTTAGCGTCAATTAGTCTGAAAACCGGAAACTTCAGACCAATTTTTCTCGAACTTTGGAATATAAAACAGCTCAAATAGCTTTAATATTATGCTACAATTGACCTTTACGAGCTTAAGAGATAGTCGAAGGCCGTGGGAAAAAACACAACCTACGCCATAATTACTTCATATTCGTGGTCGGAGCCACAACTGTTCATTCAGTTTTAAACGAATTGAAGACATTTATTTTATAAGTTGATTGATTTTTAAAACCCTTTGAACATTTTTTGCATCTTTGAACCGTTGAATACGTTTAGAAAGTTGAAAGAATTTCGCAGCTCGAAAAGTGAAAATCAACTTACGCGCAGAAGCGAAGCTGAGTTTCACAAAACTTGCGATACAATTAGAACTTGGCATTACAAGATATTGAATAGAAAAAAAAGAAGGAAGTCATTTTTTTCAAGTAAAAACTATATCTAAGAAAATTCCTTCCACGCCTTTGTTTCGATGATGTTCATAAACAGCCTTAGCAAACATTGAACATTAATGATCGAGCGACAACTAATGCAAAAAAAGCTTTAGTTAAGCAGAAAACAAAACTAGCCGTAAAAAACTCAAGCTATAAAAATTTAAAATCAAATTTTAAAATCCTTCCGACCCATCCCTCTAAATACAGGCGAAAACATTTGGAAAATTCGCCGTTGAAACTACGCAACATATGTTGACTAAGCCGATTAAACATAAGCCCAACTTGTTTAACCGAAAAAAAATCAAAAAAAAATTATTAAAAATCAGAGTTGGTAAAATTACATACAGAAATATATAGCAAAAATTCTTGGATCAAAAATTGAAAAACTCAAGGTTTAAAAAAACTGTCCGAAAAGCGTACCAGATAATATTAATTGCATTTGAAAAAAAAAACGGAAAACCAGCCGACAGAAATTAGGACGAAAACCACAAATTCAAACTAAAATCAACACTTTTTCAATAAATTTATTTGAAAAAATCAAGTAATACCGCAAACGAACTAAAAGGAAGTTTTATTTGAGTTTTCAAGAATTTGAGGATATAAGCAGAATTGAGCATGTAAGCAGAATTTGTAAGAAAAGTTGTTTACGAGAAAAAAGTCGAGTTCCCGATTACAAGTCACTTGCTCTCGCAAGTGAACAAAACTACTGGTTATATTGGGTCAATATAATATAAAGATATATTAGATTTGATTACATTAGCGTGCGACTTACAGGTGCGTTGAGGTCCCACACAGATATTTTGGCGTCCTCTCCTCCCACTATGAGGTGGTTGTGGGGTTGGGGGAGGAGTTTGCAGGATCGGATGTAGTGTTCCCTTGACAGACAGTTCAATTCGTGCAGCGACTGCTTCGGATTCCCTATGTCCCATATCTTCACACAGCCCTAAAAATAAAAAAATACTTTCTACACATTCAAAACAAATTATGTGGATCTTAAAACTGCTTGATGTTTTTAAATACAGTTATAAAAACTTGAAATTAAATTGAACAAAATCAACAAATTTAAAATATATGCTTTAAATATAAATTTTGGTTAGATTTGATCCTTTATGCCGCTAAACTCATGTCTTTTTTTTGGTTCGTTAAGCAAGTCAATCGCTAAAAATGCAAGTGAAATTTAAGGATCACCATGCAAAAATGGAATACCAAGCTGTTCATGGTTCTTGAAATCAAAGACACGCCTTTTGCATGGTCAACAAGGTTTCGCTGTTTATAGATGAAAGCTCACATGAAAGTGAAATCGGTACTTAACAATTGTTAAAAAGGTCAACCTACTGGCGCTCACAGATATGAAATTGCACCACTGGGAAGGCAAAGTCATATTGTAAATGAGGACTAAGCTCAACTTTGCCCTCACAATTCAGAGCAGAATAGATCTACTTAAAATGTATGAAACGAAATGAACATGAGTCACACAAATGTCAATTTTTTCAAATATCTTTCTTCAAAAAAAATTAACACTGATGTTGAATAATGGTCTGAATAATTTTAACACTGGTCTGAATAATTTTTAGGTTCTTCTTGTAGTAGTCATGATCTCCGTTTGACAATTTAGATTAGAGATCTAAATATACTTGTTTTTAACATTTATATCAAGTCAACACCGAATATTTTTTTTGATAAGTTTGACTCAAAATGTTTAAATGGTATCTATGCTCAGAATATTCTGTGCTATATGAACAGAAACAGGATAGTCATATTTTACGTAGCGCATGCATTAAAACTAACTTTTCCGCCAGTGTAGACAAATTTGTTGTTATTCGATATGGTCACTGCACACACGACGTCTCCGTGGTCCAGGGTGGCGAACTCGCTAACCCGCACTGGAATATCCGGACCTTTGTTATAGTCGGGAGGGAAGGGGGTAGGTTGCTGGTGACCGGACTCGTTCACATACATAGAGTAGTTGTTTCTGCCTCCGGACATGGCGGCGTTCATTGCTGCGGCTGCTGCTGCGGGACTGGGACCTCCGCTTCCGCCTCCTCCCGAAGAGTTTCCACCTCCTCCGCCTTGCCCTGACATATGGCCACCGAGGATGCCGGCTGCAAAAAACATGTTTGATTATCTCGAAAACGTGTCAGCTCGTTTACCGTTTCCCTTACCAAAATTGATTATAAAACAAGACTGCTCGCATCAAGTGGAAGCCCTGTATGTTCTGAGTGCCTTCTAAGGTCTATGGAGCAGTGTTCGCTATGAAAAAGACTAAAATGTCAAAAAAAAAACTTCGTTGAAACAGTTTTGCTGAACACGCTATGTAAAGTACAAAAAATATATATTTCACAGATAGCAAAGTATCAAATAGACCAAATAGCATGCCTCATTCCAATTTAGATAAATTTCTAGGACGGTTAAATCTCCCCTTACGCGTTAATAGCACGAAAGATATCGCGCTTTTATTGTCCCAAATTGGCAATCTTCAAACCCCTATAACGTTACAAACAAAACAAGATCGCAGTAGAAATATCTTCATAATATTAAGCTTAAAACAACAATAACTTTTCCTTTATTTAAAAAAAATTGTCAAAAATAGCTAGTTAAGAAGCCGTAATTTGTCTGAAAAAATACAACAGTACAAATTTTTCGTCACTTCCTTCAAATGTCGGAAAAAATGATTAAGAATGTGGTTCTATAAAGCTGTGCCTAGAGAACAAGATGCTCGTATATCAGGGCGAAGACCTGAATGTTCCGACTGCCCCTTAACTGACCTCAAATATTTTTTGGTAAATGAAAAAACAAATGTTCCAAATTTGTAGGAGGAGCCATTTATTCTGATCCACTTCCCAGAGAATATATAAAAAACCAACTAACTTGACTAAGTTAAAATATGAGTGCTGACCTAATAATAACAAAGAACAAACAAGACTGCTGGTATCAGGGCAAAACCCTGAATGTTCCGACTGCCCTTTAATTGGTCTCGGATAATCTGGTAAATTAAATATTGGCAAAACTATGAATTTTAGGCTGATAATATCAAAAAAATGTTGCAATTTGAGTCGTGTATGGAGTTTAAAAAACAATCAGCTGCCTCAATTCAGTATCGAACGATTTTGTAGTGCGGTAGAATAAAACAAGTTTACTAAAACAAGAGTTACTCTTTCAGCATCAAAGTATAGAACGAGAAGTTTAGCTAGACTCGTGTTAGGTTAATATAGTTGTGTGCGAACATGACGGGACCCCAAAAGATCCCCGAGAAAAAAAATTCTTTCAAAAGTTGGTCTGAATTAAGAAGTAACCCCGAGCATATACATTCATCAATTTCTTCGAAAGTCGGAACAAAAATGTAGAAAATCTACACTCAATTAAATAACTTCGACAATTATAAAAATATCCAAAAAAAATCATTACGATTGAACTACGTGATCGAAGGTTTATAAAAAATCGATGCTATTTGGACGGTAAAGGAGCCATGTTACGAAAATTAGACACCAAACCAAAAAAATTTATTAATTGAAACTGATTTGTTAGCAAAAATACCGACCGAATCCGGGAAAACACTGGGACAAAAATATGATCAGTAAAAGTGTGATTTAAAGTTCAGAAGATAAAATTGCTTGCGTAATTTGGAGATAACGCTATAGTATTTTCGTTGAAAAATTATCAAAATAGTTAAATTTTTCCTTGAATTTTGTCAAAACAAAATCTGTATACATTGTCTAACCTTTACAAAATTAACAAGACTGCTCGTATCAGTGCGGAGTCCTGAAGGTTTCGACTGCCTTTCAAAGTTTATGGAGCAGTAATAACATTTAAAAAAATTAAATGTAATAAAACAAAATGAAAAAAAATCTAAAATTTGAAACTTTTTATGAAAATTCTCCCCCCCCCCCCACACGCCATATAAAGTACAAAAAAATAGATTTCGCTCCTTGTAACAAATAAATTATGGCAGATAAGCTTCTTTCAGCCAATTTGGAAGGATTTCTAAGACGGATTAAATCTCCGCTAACCCGTTAATAGCGCGAAATATATCGCGCGTTGATTGTCCCAAATTGGCCAAAATGGCAATCTTTAAACCCCAATAACTTAATGAAAAATGATCACATGTGAAATATTTTTTCAAATTTAAGCTCAGGACAGCTAGTTAAAAATCGAAACTTGTCTGAGAAAAAAAAAACTCACCCCGAGCACAAATATTCCGTTACTTTCGTATCGGAAGTCAGAACAATAATATGGAATTTCTTAACAACTGGTTTATTGTCAATAAGAACAACTGAACAAACCTTGGGCTGCTGCGGCTGCTAGAGCCGGATGTGCTAGTCCCATAGCGGCTATTGCGTGAGGGCCAAACTGCTGCGCCATTCGAAGTGCATCTAACTGGTTGGGTCTGAAACCTCCCGGATTACCTCCATTACCCGCCGCTCCAGGTGATAAGTTCCCGTGGAGCAGTCCGTTCATTCCGTTGGCATAAGCTGCTGCTGCGGCAGCTCCTCCGTCGCCGGGTGGGAAGGGGAAAGGTGGCATACCTCCTGCACCCGAGGGGAACCCGCCCGGTGCATTGCCTCTTAGACCGGCAGCCGCAGACACTGCGAATAAAAAACATTCACGTGAAAAATATTACAATCAATATTTTTCTACTGAACATTGCCCATAGAGCTAGCACTTTTCTAACACAATGCTAAATTGTACGATCCATAATCATCAGTTCATTTTTAAAACTTGGAAAGTTTATTTCAGTTTCCGACAATAAGGCGAAGTTTTAAAGCCGAGATGACAATTTTGGGTTTGAGAACTGACTTAAGGAATGCTGTGATGGTGTGAGGTGACCCTGTGTTCCATTCGGGCCGCAGACGGGGGGAAATGCACCCCCTCTGTTTGCGTTGTTTGCAATGGCCACTGATGCAGCCAGAGATGAGGGATGGGGGGAAACTTTGCCCCCTCCCATTCCCCCCGCCAATGCAGACCCTGGTGCTCCTGGAAGTGAGTTGGGTGAACTGCACTTGAATGGTTTGATGTCCTGAAACAACACAACATACGTGGAGAAGACAGCAAGGAGAAAACATCATATGGAAAAACGGAACTCAGTTTAATTTATTAAAAATGAAAACACAAATATAAAACCAAGAGTGGCCGGTTGCTGAGCACGTAGCACAGAATCTTCCGACCACAATAATTGAAAACGAAAAATTCAATCACAATTTTCATGTCACTTGATCATCGAAAATTGTCTGCAGAAAAAATCAAAGCTGCTATTATTATTCTTCTGTCTTCGATAGACTTTCGAAAAGAATGAAATTCTGGCTGTTAGGGCCAAATGCGACATAATCTACGACAAAAAACTGCAAACTTTCAAAAAGTAAACTACTGAGACCCATTATAATGGAACAGCTTGTATGTTGTCCTTCTCACTAGTAGATAAATGGTCTGAAAGCGCAAGTCACGCTTGCTTCATGGTTCAACGATTGCTCAGTGGTCTAGGGAAACGAATGCACTGAAGCACTTCGCCAGAGAACAAACAATTCAGCCGTTTGAAAAAGGTCTGAGCTCAGTGGTATTTAGATTTTCGGGGAGGGGAGATGGTTGCTGTGCTATTGGTTTCGTCGAATCACCTAGAGCATAACTCGGATACGGTTCGCTACGCATCGTTCCGCTTTCGAGTCACCTCGCGGTTGAATGTTTCGAGCTGAAAACAGACTATAGAGCGAATATAATCACATAATGCACGCCAAAATGCTTTAGGTTGAAGTAAAGAATAGGGCTCCGGGGAGGGGGAGTTGTTACAAAACGTGGATCAAATGAAGTGTGGCCTTTTGATAGACGCTTGAGCTACTTGACTAGTGAAGAAAATCGAAAATGAAAAAAGATGAAAAACTCAGTGAAGCGATGAACATGTGTAATGCTAGTGTTAAGGACATATACCCATTTGAAAATTGACATTAGTTCGCCTAACCCTCTTAGTGTATTGTTTCATTTCGATTCTCTCAAAATCGTAGCCCAATTAATTACTTAAAATTAACTACTAAATCAATCTATGAGTTAAACCAGCTGAGCGCCGAAGATTGTTTTCTTAACTTCTGTAAACTTAGAAAAATTAGATCCAAGAGAAAAATTATGACTGAACGTTTTCGCCATCATTTTTCGTGTAGTACTTGCCTTAAAACTGGGTTTTGTGGTAACGGAGCGCTCTGTTTTTTTTCTCGAAAATTGGGGTCGGTCGTGCTTGTGATCATTCTAACAAAAAATTTTAGCAAAATTTTAGCAAAAATAGTTTTAATTACTCATTTTTTTTTTTTAAATGTGTATTTGATCATGTTTATATGCTTGTTTCAGTTTTTTTTTTTTGGCGAATCTAATTTAGTTTTAAGTGGCCTTTAATCTAATCACAGTAAATACGCTTCACTTGATTTGTGACTTCAAATACTTATGATCAAGAAAGTAAAAGCATTTAGCTGCTGTCATTTACTGTCGCTTTAATTGGTGCGATATCATTTTTAAATGTTACCGCTGGCGATCAGTACAACACAGCTTTTTCTGCCAATGGCACTAAAATTAAGCCTTAAGCGTTTGTTTTTTTTTTCCACTCCGCTTCAACTAATTATCAAATATATTAATAGTTTGCAAACTACAACTTTCTTATGCTATGAAATTGCGATATCCAATCAAACAAGACTTCTCGTATCAAGGCGAAACTTTGATTGTTCCAAAGTCCATGAAATAACTTTTTGGTGTTAAAAGATTTTTGAAATTTCGAAAAAAAAAAATGAACAAAAAAGTTGAAACGAAAAAGCTGACAAGACTGCTCGTATATCAGGGAAAAGACCTGAATGTTCCGACTGCACTTAAGGCCAATTGAAACGTTTTTTATTGGCTAAACAATTGACAAAATAATTGAAAAAAGAAGGTTTTTCAAAAATTTTTCTTCATTTTATACCTCCATAAGTAAAATACCAAGGATGTGTTTAGCGTGTCGTATTGTGATAGTAGGATTAAATTGCTGGCCTCAACTCAATTTGGAACGCGCTAATTCGCTTCTTACGAGTATTATAAGTATGCAATACATCGCACTTTATTTATGCCAAATTGGCCAAATTAGCAATTTTCAAACGCTCGTAACTTTACAAAAAATGACTACAGGTGAAATATATATCTTTTTTAAATTTGAGCTTAAGATAACAATATCTTTCAGATAGTATAAATTCTGTCGAAAACGCTCAGTTAACAAATCAAAAATTGAATGAATAAAGAAAACCACACAAAGCATAGATATTCCGCACTTTCTTCGAAAGTCGGAATTATAAGAAATCTTGTCTGAAAAAAACCCCACCAAGCACAACAAATACTACATATTTTCATTTCGGAGCAAAAAAGACTAGAAAAAACCCGCCTTTGGCCATAACATCCATTTTAGGCCGACCAATCCTAAAATTTTTCTAAAGGCGCCTTAGGCGCCAATATATATTTAATTTGAAAGGGAACGCGCGGCGAAACAACAAATTTGTTTGGTAAAAATTTTCCAAAAAGTGCCCCAAAAACGGCTTTTTTGACAATTTTGCCTGCGGTCTTTATAGTGTTCTTGGAGTGGTCGGAAAACAAACTTGGTCGACCTAAAAAAAGGTCGACAAAACTTCCGAAACTTTTATGAATATCCGCCCTCCTTGAGAAAATCCTAGATCCGCCCCTGATGCATGCTGCATCTAAATTTGTTTTTCGGTTTGAAAAACTAAAAAAAACATGGTCAATTAGCTTTGTCTCATTTTTATTTGGAATGATTTTTGAGCCAGATTAATTCACCGCTCACACAAAGCGTTACAAGAAAACTTTAGACTTTGCTTAAATTAATCATTGCTAACTGGCCAAATTTCCAACTTTCAATTCCATAAAACGTTACCAGTAATGATCATAGACCAACTACTCTTTCAGCTTGAGCTTAGGTTTGTCCTATAACCTTCTTCAAAAATCGAAACAACAATGGCTCGCCTAGCCTATAGTTTTCCGAATACCAATTAAAGTTTTCGATAAATATAGCAAAACTCTGAGGGAATTTTGACAATGGAACTTTTGACAATATGTATATCGGAGTAAAAAAAATGTCTGCCTACATTTTAAGCATATTGATTAAAAACTTAAACCTTTAAATCCATATTTCTGAAGCTTATTACAAAATCGCTTTTTCCACCTGATCTTTGCCTTATAAGGATGGTCAAAAATGAAAGTCAAAATGGTCACGATCAATTAGCGGTCTGAAAAATTGGTACTTTTCTCACTTTCGATAATCAAAATAGCCGCATGCGAAGCTTAATACCATTCATTATGAACATAAATGTATCTAATCTACTAATCTGTAACTTTGAAAAATGACGAATTTTAAATGGCTTTTGTGAAGAGCTTTGAATTTTCGACAAGTGCATTTTCTATTTAGCTCGCAATTTTAAATGGCATTTAACGTTTCATCCAGATTTAATTGCTAATTTGAGAGGTACTTTAAATTCTTGTTTGTTCTTGCTCGCTTTTCGACCCGCTTGTCATTCGGTTAAGTGGCTGCCGAGTTCTATGTCGGAGTGCTTTGTCAATCTCGCAGAAGAGTGGTGCTTAGAGCAATCATTAAGCCGAACGATTGCTCTACAATTTGCTTTCGATTGCAAAAAGTGCTTCAAGCCACTCTTGTTTTAAATTAGCACTCAGAAAATTTAGACAAAACGAGTAAAATGAAAATCGGCGATTTTCTTTGCAGGATAACTAAAGGTTATCGTCAAATGAAACGAATTGATAAGAAAAAACATTGAGTGCTCAGCAACTGCGACCGGTTCTAGTTTTGTTAAGAATGGCAACCATCTTATTATTTGCCTTGATTGCATACTAGAAAAAAAACTACAAAAGTAGAAAAAAAACGCCTTTAAGTTACTCTCAACTTCAAAATGAAAACTAATCGGTAATAATTTTGGTAAACATGACTAATAAAGAGTAACAAATTTGATCTCATTTTCAGCTTTCCGTTTCATCTGACAAAAATTTAGCAGGTGGTCGGAATTTGTAGAACATTAAAAATGTATGAGCGGCAAAAAAAATCTTCGCCTAAGCAGATGTTCTTGTCGTCATCCATACAAATTCATAATCACGATCATTTTTTATGGAAATCTTATAGCAATCGGAAAATTAAAGCTCATAATGAAAAAAAGAAAAGCTATTTGTTCTAACATATGTTTTCTTTCATGTACTTCCTTTTCAAATGAAAACTCATTTATGAAAAACATAAAATTTTCCAGATATTATCCATAGACTATTAAGAAATGACTTTTAGCTGAAAAAAAAATGAGAAACAAATTGAATATCATCAAATACATGAAGCTGATTTTAAATTCGATAACCAAAAGTTTTAAAAACCAAGAATGATTAAATACAAAAAAGATGCCAAAAGTTGAAAACTAAAACCTGAACCCAGTGAGCACTAGGTAAAACACAGAGGCGAAGCGGAGCTTCGCGCCACTTGCGATACAACATAAAATAGCAGCGCAAGCTAGCAGACAGGAAAAGAAAGCCACTAAGTAAAAAAAAAACACTTCAAAAAACCACAATTAAAAAAATTAAAAATATTGCCTGGAATCAAATTAAATTTGCGGAATAAGAGTCCAAAAACACAATCGACAACAATTAATGAAAATCCAAAAAATAATTAACAAGAGTCAACCGAAAATATAAGTGTTGTCATGATAAAATTTTGAACAAGAAACTCTATTCTTGCATTGTGACCGATCCGAAATGAAGCATAAAACTTATGCTTCTTTTGAAATTACCCCAATATAGGTCACTAGCCGATAAAATATAAGCCGAAATCAATTAGGCCAAATAAAGTTTTAAAGCGAAAAAAAACAGCAAATTACACGAAGTCGAGGCTAGTAAAATTAAGCTAAGTAACAAAAACAGCACAATACACGAAGTCAAGGCTAGTAAAATTAAAAACTGCAGGAATAATTCAAAGCACTGAAAGCAACTACATTGAAAATTGCGAGTAAAAATATCAATTCTACGATGTGTCAACTAAGCCGACAAAACATAAGCAGGCAACTATAGGCCGACATTTTGTTGGAAAGGAATATTTTTTTCAGTACGAAAAAAACAGTTCCGGGTCAGGTTGAAACCCACGACCTTTGCGGTCCCGGGCGTATTCTTTACCTCCAGGCTAAGTGCCGAAAACGCAAAAAAATTGAACTCATTACCAACCAAGATACAAGTGATTATGTTAAACAAGTTTTTAACCCGAAAAAATTCGCAAGCGTAACAAGACTTTAAAACTGTTCAAAATAACTGCTTACACACATCCAGGTAGGCTGATTATCACGCAAACATAATATTAACCAAACAGTCGAAAATTGAAAAATTCTAAAGGGATTCGGCTCACCTTGGGCGAAGAACCCTGTTCATAATTGGGCAAACTGCTCGGCCTGCTTGCAGGACCACCAAGTCCCCCGACTCCTGGTTCCTTTTTGATTCGTTTAACGTCGCCCCCTAGCGATCCAGAAGCTGATCCGTTTTCGAGGATGCCAGAGGCGGAGTTCGGACTATGAGGGTGACTCTTGGATCCCCCTCTCGGGCTGTGAGCTCCGTCTACGTCCACAACCAAATCCTTGTCATCGTCATCATTATCAGAATCCTAAATTACATAAGATAACTTACCCTCCAACATCAGGTGTCAATTTATCTAGCTTTCTGAACTTACACACTACAAAATCACATTTAATTAGGGTCTTGTGTTGTAATAAGTTAAAACTAAATATTTGGAAAATCGAAGCTTTTGTACAATTTATTCATTTGACTTCGTATAATTTTACGTTTCGTAGCCACATGAAATTTTTAAAAATATATATGGTATTTAAGGAGTTCTATCGTATCTGAATTTAATTACCAGCAATCTATACCAATTGACATTTTATATTATTATCAGTTTGAACAGCAGCATAGCAGCATGTATTTATAAACTTAACACCATATGTTCGGCTGTTAATTCTGACACACACACAGAGAAAGAGATAACTCGAATGACAAGTTGAACAACTGAAGTATACAGACTCAAAATGGGACCCCATATGGTACAAACACACATCCAGCTATCACTAGTCAGACTCGAAAATGCAATAACACAACTTAACAGAGCACTCGATCTCAATTGAATGCGAATTGACATGACACGAATTTGCATCGAGTTATGGTGATAAAATCAAAATTAATCATGATGTGAACTATGATGTGATGTTTTGAATGGTAATTTTTGGATCAAAGAATTCAGATAGCTTTCGAAACAATCCGTTAATCAGTTCCGGCGTATTACTTTAATATCTGTTAGTCAAATTTCATGATGGTAACTGCTCGAACCTTACTAAAGCATTATAATGTTAATATTGGGTGACGCTTTGATTCGCTAGTATCACAGTAAGTTCCGAGCAGTTACAATCATGAAATTTGAAAAAAAAATCCAAAAACTGGATGATTAATTATTAAATTTCCGGTTTTTTTGAGGAGGGGGGGGGGGGTACGCAATTGAAATTGAGCTTTCGGAAAACATTTTTTAAGCTCAAAAGGTGGCAAAAAAATTAAAATTTTGAATATATATTTCAGTTCTAGCAAATTGCGTTGAGACCAGTGTATTTTGATTTAGTTAAACAAAACAAAATCGGATCAAAAAACGATCATTAAGAACAAAACTTTCCATCAAAATCAGTTAATCAAATAGTCGAAATGACGTAAAGAAAACACCGCAAGTAAAAATAGTCTGTTTTTTGAAAGAGAGAACCTCGAATCATTTTTGGTAAATTAAGTATTGGCGAAACTATGAATTTTAAGCTAATCTTATTAAAATTTAAGTGTTACAATTTTCAGTCGTGAATGGAATTAGTAAAACCAATCAGCTGTCTCAATTGAATTTGAAACGATTTCGTAGTGCGGGATAATTCGCCACGCATGTAAATTATAAAACGCGCAGTTGAGACAATCTCGTGGCAGATTAATATAGTGGCGTGCACACCCGGCTGCGCCCATGCAATCAAGAAATCAATCCCCCGAGGGACTAGATAGTTTAGAAATTGGTCTGAATAATAAAAACATAGCCAACAGACAGTTGGAAAAGAGTCGATGAACGAAAATAAACAGAAAAAAAATACTGACTTGTTTGTTGGAAAATTCTCAACTTTCAAACTTCGAAGAAAGAAACAGATGCCCTTAAAGCTCTTCGAATTTCTGGAAAATTTCATAATCGGCCTTTTTTCGCTAAAAATGAACCCAATTTGAGAAAACTGGATCAAGTAAATTCTTTATTTCGCAGGTAAATATGAAAATTCTATGGAAACTAAGATGTCGATCGCGTGTTTCGTGACCTTTACACTTGTGCTGTTCAATAGTGGAGTTTCATTTTCTTTTAACAAAGACACTGAAGTGAACTTGAAAAGAAATCAAAAATAAAACAACGAAAAATCAAATTTTAGCGGGAACAAATTTTGTAACTTTTCCTAAAAAAATCATCGCAACCTTTATAAGAGTCTGAGGTACGTTCATCAACTCTTAAAAAAACTATCCCGAGCATATATATCCCTCACTTTCTTCGGAACAAAAACTAAGACAGAATGCTTAGCGGGTGGCTGTTCTTATGACAAGGAACCGAATGATGAAAAAACTTTCAGCCAATTAAAATTGTGAGAACGTCCAATTTACTGAATGTTTTTGGCTCGTCAATTTCAAAGACAATAAAATATATCATGCAAAATTCGAGTAGATATAAATTTTTTGTTTTGTTTTTCCATTTTTCTTTTACCGGCATCTTGAAATAAATTTGAACATAACTGTATCTGCGATCAGCTTACTTAGTAATCTATCAATATGAAATTTATTAGTCTTTTCGCGTTTCTTTGCTAACGTTTTCTTTGCTAACGATTAATTTGCTAACTTTTCGCGTTTTCTTCTAAATTTTTAAAAACTCAATCTGATTGGTTTAAACTGACTTCAACCTTCGGCCTCTCCATCATACATTACGAACTTCACCTTTCGCGCGCACTAATTAGCTCTAATTGGCCAATTAAGGCATTTTCAAAACTCATCCCAGAAGAAATATCAATTTATATTTGAACTCAGGATATTGATATCTTTCAAATGGTATAGAAAAACTCCGTCAAAAACGATTATTTAAAAAGTCGAATTTTGTCTGAATGAAAGAAAACACGCCAAGTCTAAAATATTCTGTAACTGTCTTCAAACGTCGGGACAACAAGTCTAAAGAGCGAAAGAATTAACATCAGTTACAGTTTTCTTTGACACCAATCCCATTTTTTAAGTTTTTTTTTTCATTGAAACTTCTATATTTCAGTTATTTCGCACGACAATTCTTCATGCTAACTTACTATGTGTGGTAAAATCAAAGCCGAACACATAAATCCTTGCCACAACGTGGTCGGAACAACAAGATAGACGTGAAGGAACTAGGCCAAGAAAAACGAAAACGAACATACGTTGTCTGAATTTTCGCCGTCGTGAGAGGCGGATGAACTTTGGTTCTTTCTCTTCTTCGCGGCTGCATCCGCAGAGCTGGAGTACCTGGTCCTCTCTAAGTGTTGTTGGTGCTGGGATGAGACGGGAGCATGTGAGGCAGAAGAGTGGTTTGATCCGACACCTCCGCCTAGTCCGCTGGATTTCTCCCCGTTGAGACCGGCTGCGGGGGAAATTGAACTCTGGAAAAAACCGCGAAATGATATTTGGCCTAAATCATTTTTTCATAGATATACAAAAAGGTGCAATTTGTCAAACAGCAATTTTGCATATTAGTTTGCGATAACAGGCGAATGATTTGACAACAAAGAAGATATTGCCTTTCGATAATTAGTCGGTTTTTCTAAGTTCTACAAATTATTGCTTTCGACGAAGTGTTTTCTTGCCAAACGAAACACAAACAATTGCAAAACATATCAATTAGTCAGTGAAAAAAAATTAACGAACTGTCAAATTTTTAAACAAGATTTTTTATTCGGAGATATCTTTGTTTGTTATTCGGAGCCGAAACGATATTTTGTTGTATATTAAGAGGGTAAAATTTTACCCGTAATGACTTTTTTTCATTAAATGGAGGAGGAGCAAAATCCAGTTTTTAGATGTAGTTTTTCACAACAACTCGAATGCCAAGAAAAGAGCGTCAAACACAATACTTGTACGAAGTTTGAAAACATTGTAAAACGTCAAATAAGCATTGAAAATTTTGCTTGGCATAAATCCCTGGAAAATGCGATCCCTATAAATAAAAAGCGCAAGGCAAAGCACAGATGGTACTAAGGGAAAATTAAATTAAAAAAGTAGAGAGGTCTCGAAAAACATCATCCGCAGTTTTTTCCGAGCATAAGAGTCCTCTCCACTCAAAGGGAAGTACGGTCAGAGAACCATCTCTGTGAACTCTCATCTCGCAATTGCATTTTCACATTTTCATCGCAATAATTATCTCAAGAGCATTTCAATTTACTCCAAAAAACGCTCTAATTTACACTCGAGTTGGTTCGAGAGCTTTCATAAAAAGTAATATCTCGATTCCATTTTCATCTTTTTATGGCAAGTGGAAACAACTAAATTTATTGAAACATCAAACAATACATTTCGATTAGGTTTTTCCTTTTCTCAACGATGTATAAAATTTCACATTTTCAATCTACGCTCGATATTTTTGTAAGGCTTCTTTAGAAATATAATAAAATATTTCATTGTCCAAATTTAGCTCTTCGCCCAGAATTCTTGCAAGGAGGACAAAAACTAATATTTTAGGCCATTTGACCCATTTTTTGTTTTTGTTCCTAAAACTAGCCTAATCCTAAATCGATTGCATGAAACAAAGTTTACACACCTTTACTCCTTGTAATTTAATTAAATGAACTATTACTGCGCTTTTAACTAATTGAAAAAAGAATGAAAATTTGATGTTGAAGGGTGTTAATTTTTAAACAAATTACAATAGTGTTTGAGACATCAACTTGATGTTAAAGGATGTTAATTTTAAGCAAACTAAAATAGTGTTTAAAAAGTAAACTTAATGTTACAGGATGTTAACTTTTAAACAACTTAAAATAGCGTTTAAGATGTTAAGTTCATGTAAATTTAAGCATGTTGATTTAATTTTCAAAAAGCTCACGAGTCGATCGCGTTCTTCTCGGCTAGCAGCCGAAGTCACCGAGTTCATCAGTCCTCCGAGTTGACTGTGCTGATGTTGTTGTTGCTGCTGCAACTGACCAGCCGCATTGCTCAGTGCATTGGCACCCGCGGATCCCGGTGGGAATCCGAGGAGTCCGGCCGCTGCCGCAATTGAAGTCGGCGGAAGTCCGGCAACGCCGGCGGCTAAGCTGGTCGGCAACATGCCAGGGAACCCGCCTGCACCTCCTCCGTGCATTCCGGGAGGTAAGCCAGACCCTGGCTGCATTTGTTGCATTTGCTGGAAAAAATTAAAACACATCAACAACATCAATTTTTTGACAAATTGACAATCCAGTTTTGACGAAGATGGACTATCTCTCAAGTTAAAACTTTTTATCCACAAGGATAGGAACAACATTCGGGCTGTTAAGTCTTTTACAGAAAATCGCTGTTACGCCCTGCTTAAAAATTACAAGCAATTTTTTGTGGTATTTTTCTTGCCTGGGTGTTCCCCCTCCATCGTAACGAGCACGGACCATGGTTGGCCTCGAACATCCCACCTCTCGATAGAGAGGCGGAGACATAGCTCCCCAAGATCTAGAATGAATCATACAAAAACTCAGAAACAAAGCTTGCATGGGAAGCGGATGTTCAATTATGCAATATCGTATGAGACAATTATTCTGCTTGCAAGATAGACCCTCATTGTCAAATAAAGGCGGTGTCTGCAAAAATATAAAATTATATTATGACTTGGCGTTTGCCAGGACAGAAATTTCACTTAGAGTACAGTACTTTGAATTTAGAGTACAGTACATATTGCTTTCAAATCCTAGTCTTCAGAGCCTAACTTCAGATTAATAATTCGAATTTCAAGCACTTCCTTGACAAGTTCAAAGGTCATTCAATTCTGAAAACGCATAATAACCCGAATTCATAAATTCAGACTAGCAACTATAGAGGGGGGGGGGGGGGCAGTACAAAGTACAAGAGTGTTAAAAAATGCTTTTCAACAACAGTGCCTTCAATTTTCGGCACTGTTGAACACAGTTTAATTTTCGGCACTTGTACTTCGGCACTATTGAACTGCCCCCAACGGGGGAACCAATAAAACATGACCGAATATTTCAACTTAATCGATAACAAGACGCCTAATGTCTGATTTTCATGCAAGATTAGGTGTCATAATCTTCTATTTGTGTTTTGTCTTTGAGTTGGCTGATTAGCAATAGGAATTCGTATGAAGATAGTTTATTTAGCTTAGTTTGTTCACTAAAGTTTAGTTAGCTTATAATCTTCAATCAATGAAGTTTGGTTAGTAAAGTGGTGAAAAGTTGATTCAGTTGGCGAATGGTCAAACAGCATCGACAAACACAAGGCGCTGTTAGCATAGCAAATAGAGTCACAGATTAACACATACAACAAAGGTAAAGCTGAATATATTTGCTCAATTCAAGCCAAAACTCAAATAGAGTTTTTAGATGTACCAACATAAGAAGTGAGATTTATCCACCCACCACTTAAATCTAATTTCTATTGTACTCCCCTTAGCTAGTATATTTAGATAACTCCATGAAATTGCTCAAAATCATAAACACTCAGATATCTATATTTTTCCAAATATCTCGGCCCTTCAAATATTGAACTTAATTTTTGATGCTTGCAGTTCACTTGATTTTGACCTTAAAATAATTAAATGCGCAATATCTTGTAAATATCATGTAGTGATCTGTCCTCGTAGCTTAAAAATTTATCAAACCAAGCAATGATAGAAAAAAAGCAAGTAGAAAAAAATCAAACTGGGAAATCTCTAAGGACCGAGCGACATAAATTAGTCATAGCTAAACCACATTCAGTGTTCAAATTCTTCCAGAAAAGCGAGAACCATTCAGTCAAAAAAAAAATTTCGATTGTTGAAAATTTTCAGCCATTTTAAACTTAGTTTTTCAGTATTCTTTTTTCGAGGACTTCAACTGTTCTGATTCAGTTCTTTTATCTATGCTTTTTTAAGATTGATTTTCATTCAAAAAAACACACTTAATCTAATTTTTTCATAGAATAATCATAATCAATTTGCTTGCAAGTAGGGAACAGTTTGCCAATAATTAACAAAACTAATATTTAAAAAATCTTTTCCATTTTTTCACTTGATTTTTTGGAAACTAGCTGTTTAAAATCACTTATTTTTTGATGCGGCTTCGGTTACAAAAATCTTGTACTCAAAGAGGTTATCAGCAATCTTTTAAATGAGCATATTAATCGGCACACATGCTCATAGTCCCGCCGGCCCATATTAACCAACGAAATTGACTTACCCCGATCATGTTGTGTAAGTCTGCCATTGTGATGTTCTTGGCCTGTTCCACCGCCTGTACGACACTCTGTTGATGCTAAACAAACACACACAGAAAATAATTAAACAATCCGGTTCGAATTTTTTTAAAATATTGCATAAAAACGATGCCAATTTGTCTGATTTTTGTTCCCGATTGTAACATAATACAGTGAAGGTGCTAGAAAAAATTCAGTTTGGTTGTATTTTAAAATTAGGTCCCCATTCAATAGCTGAAGTTACCTCATTAGTGACTGGCATCAATAATTTTCTTCTAAATTGATTAGTATTGAACAACGGCTTTTTGGTTCTGGAATGATTGAAATTTGATAAAACAAGTGATCGCTTTTATTGTTCCGTGTTCTAAGAAATTTTCTTTTTTCGCTTTTTTCTTCGAATATCGGAACAATAAAAAGGGGCTTTTATGATATCAAATTTCAATCATTCGAGTACCTAAAGAAAAAGGTTGCTCACTTTTCTAATCAAATGAAATCAATTATTACAGAGACGCAGCAGAGCTTCGCGCCGTTTGCAACTCAACTTCATCATTGCAGTATAAAAATGTGAACAAAAAAGAGACGGAAGTAAAAAAATGTTGAAAAACTTCTGTCCACAAAAATTTTATGCGTTTGTCTCAAATTAGGTTCATAAATTTTGAGCAAAAAGTTTATTTATCCGAAGTTGAAACCCATTCCTCTTGAAACAACAAAAAAAGTAGGAAACTATTCTGCCTTCCAAAGTACGCTAAAAAGAGTTGACTTAAGCAATTCAATAAAAACTAAAACCATAGAATCGAAAGAACATAATTCAAAATCTTTCAGTTATAGTGAAAATTGTTTAAATCAGAAGATAATCTATGACTTAGGAAGAAATCTGAGGAAAAAAAACTTCACCATATATTATAGCTTGCATTAAAACAAAAAGGAAAATGAGCCGGCGAAAATCAGTATTAAAACAACGAATTGAAACAAAAAACGTTTTCTCAAAAAAATTTATAAGAAAAACTGTTTGCCTAACAAAAACCCCGACAATTTTATTTGATTTTTCAAGAAAATGAGCATGTCAGCCTCCACGTGACTCTTCAAGAAAATGAGCATGTCAGCCTCCACGTGACTCTTCAAGAAAATGGGCACGTCAGATTGTTTGCAGAAAAAAGTCTTAGTTCCCCGTTACAAGACACTTGCTCTCTCATGTGTGATTACCTACTGGTATTAAATAGGTAATTTTAGCTAGTGAATGGGCACCTGAAGTAAAATAACTTAACTTTTTTTTCAAAATTTTGCTTTGAATTTTGTTTCAGTTAGAAACTAAAACGGAAAAAGGCAGTTAAAATGGTACCAATTTTTACACACTTTAATAGTCTTTGAACTGAAAATATGAGTTTAATTTGCAGTTGTAAAAGACCAAGTGAGCAATCTCGCTCCTAAAATTGAATAGCAAATTTAAGCGGTAAGGCCTGCATGTACTATGCTCAAATTTGATTGGCTGAAAAATATTACTTCTAACCAAGTGGACGGTCTCCTCCCTAATTTGATTTAGGGGGGAGATTGTTCACTTGGTCCGTGTAATGAAATCAACTGACCTCGGGTGGAAGTATTTGAGTGATTCGGGCGCATATGTTGTTCAGTCTCTTGGCAATCTCAGTCTGTTTATGGACTTCGAAGTTCAGGCCATAACTCATTTCGTAGAACTAAATAAACACCAGTCAACAAAAAGTTTTCATTTATGATTTTTTGATTGCTCGAATTATGTATTAAGTCATAAAGCATACATACTATTAATAATAAGTAAAAATATGACTAATTTCCAGCTTCCCACCCCCTCGTAAAATTATAACATAAAATTGTTTAAAAATCGTTCATACGTCAAATTACATGTGAGACATCTTGCAGACATTGGTTCACATTGACACATTTTATTGCAATTTAGAGCGTCAAAAGTTTATTAAATCAACTTTCATAAATCGAATTGGAGGAAACATCAAAGTAGGAGTAAAAAATCCAAAATAGTTAAATAAATACAATATAATAAAATTCAAGTTGCATCTTTTTCTCAAGTTTTAAAACATGGTTTCTTCTCATAAAGTCTGCCCAATTCTTCCCGAATTTGCATTGTATATTCTGCCAGAAAAACTTAAATCGTTTAAAACTGACCATAATGTATGCCTTGTGTATTTCTGTCTTTTCTTGGGCCAGTTTTTTGCATTCCATCTCAATCCTAAACACAAAAGGAAGAAAGTAACATGACTAGTAGTTTATGTGAGGTAGCTGACTTTTCGCGCAAACAAGCATCCAAATCTAAAACATCTACCGCCAAAATTGGTTGTCGTTAAACATTGAAGAGATGCTATAACCGTAAGTTTTATGTTAAAGCAGTGAAGCCCTGAGTCCAGCTTTTCGCAAAAAAAAACTTTTAATTTTTGTTCCCCTAAATCTACTTAAATGATTGGCCTCGACCAAATAATTTCCCCTTCGTCAATCCATTTCTATGCGAACAAACATTTAAATAAAAACAACCTACCGGTTGTGACAAGCCGGTTGTGACTACTTAAATTAGCTGAACATACTTTAAAAAAACTTAACATTGTTTTTTTTTATTTTTTTTTTTAAAATCTGTTTTAAAAAATATGTTGGATGAAGATAGGCTTGGAGAACTAGATTTCAGGAGAGCACTTGGCAACCCTTATGAGTTCGTTAGCCTTCCGCTCTTTGTTACTGGTGTATTTAGAGTTAATTCATCTGGTTTAAAAATAAGTAACACCGAGAAATTGATTCTTCTTCTTCTAGATTCCTATCGCGTATTTCACGAATTAAAATCACATTTTGTTATTTCAAAATGCGTGAGTCTCTGGTTACACAGTAAAACTCACTGGTGATACTGAGCCTGCAACTGGTTGAATTCATCTTTGATTTTCTCACACAGGTCCAGCACACTGATCTTGGGCATGTGGTTGTTGCTCATTCCACCAGGTCCCCCAGGACCCGAAAGACCTCCCGGAAGTCCACCCGCGGCTGCCGCTGCACCCGCTGCCGCTGCTTGTTGTGCTGCAGCTGCCGCATTCTGCTAAAACCAGAAAAAAAATCGATCAATCGGGCTCCATAAATTTTCAGCCAAAAATATCCTTTAAGATTTCGTTTCAACTTCAGTGAATATTGTAATACAACCCTAATACATGAAAATTTTACTAAAAGTTTCATGTTATAAGTGCTTTTTTGCAGTGATCACGAAACTCAATAGGCCGTCCTCTAAGAATAACAGGAACATAATACACTTTTTTCGATATTTTTGAAACAAAATCCCTAATCTTCAAATCTTTAAAATGAAATATCGTGGTCCGCTACAAGTTGAGCACTGACTATCCTTGTTATTCCTACGACCAGGCTTAAAAAATAATGGTCTATAACAAACAGAATTGCTTTTCGAACAGATCCAGACATATTTAGATAAAGTTTAGATTGAAATAGAACCTGATAAAAAGCTTTGCTTTTTTATGTTCAGCAGAAATGAGACATGCCCTAATCGCAATTCCACGTTACACTAAAATTAAACACATGATTTTCTCTCAATGTATTTTCCGCTCAGCGTGTTAAATTGTTGACAAATAATATACTTCTGTTATTTCAAAAAAATGTTCCATCTTTTATCGCTTCAAGCAAAAAACAGTCACATTTATGAAAAATATTTTTCAGCTGTTTGTTTTAATAACAAAAATATGCATAGTGGTGACAGTCTGTTTCGAACTCATATAAATGTATAACATTATCGCATCTAACTTTTGAAATAAAACAATCGAAAAAAGTTCGTCCATTAAATTACAATTAGATTTGGATTTATAAAAACAATCTGAAAAAGTTCGTCTATTTAAGATTTGGATTACTAATAGATCCAAAAAAATTCTCCAACCAAATTCACGTTTTCGTTATAACAGCAACTTCAAATAGTTCTTCCCGATTTAAGATAATCACGTCTTATACTTCTTAGCGAAATCCTTGTTGTTCCGTTTTTTTAATAAAAATTGTTGAGAACAAATGGTATTGTTAAGCAGCTCATCAGCTTAGTAATAGGTTATTTCGTAAGAGGATCGTTAAAAAAGCACAACTTCAAAAAAAATGAGAATAAACATGCGCGATATATCAATTGAAATACAGTAATTTACTAAATTCGTGTTGATTACTTGAGGCTAAAAATTTTGTTGCAAGTTTTCATTAAGAAGGTTTTTCTAAATTATCAGTGGAATACTCTAAAACTTATTTTACCCGATCAAAATTATGCAAAGTTTTTCAAAAGAGATGCAATAAAAGACTTTTGAAACAATCGTTGTCCATTTAAGAAAAAAAATCAACTAAATTGCTGGCGTGAAAATCATTGAAGTTGTCCTAAAGGAGAAAAAATATAGTTTACAGAAACCAGGCAGCAAAAAATAATTAAAAAGATAGAAGCTGATAGTTACTTAATTTTCTCGTAGTATATTAGAATGTTTCACTTTTGAAAAGAATGTTTCAGGGTTGAAAAAAAAAACGTTTTTTATTAAGAACAAATCAATAAAACGTCTTCTCTGTTATTTCTTTTTTTTTCTTACTATAGAATAATGCATATCTATAAAAATTTGCTCTTAAAACTTTCTATATAAATCCATTTTTCGACAAACCGCATAATTTTTTTCGGTAATTTTGACGATTAAAGTGATAAAGCAAGGGGTTCGATCCTCAGACATCTCAAATTAGGTTTTATTCAGACCACTTCAAGCGCCGAGAAACTTTGTGTTCGGATTTCTTTTTTTCCAACCTTATAGAGCTTAGGGATAGCTCTACTAAGGTCGACCCAATAACAATACGACAAAAAAGTTCCGGCTAACCGGGTTTCTGCCCAGTGACACCGTTGGTCTTTATTGGTAAGCCGACCACCTTGATTTTACTTTTTAATTTTATTTTAATGATCGTTATCTTACTCTTGAAGTTTAAATTCCTGCCTCTCTCCCAATCCACAAAATGGGAGTAAATTTGGGAAAAATTGACAAGAACGAAAAAATCGATGGTTCCAAACTTTTTTTTGTTTTCTTTTTTAAATATAAAGCTCCAATTAGTGTATCCGATTGGTAATAATTTGGAACAGAAGCATGAAATTTTATCGTGTAGCTTTCACATTTCCAGCGATCGATCAAATAGAAGACAGGTGATGAAAAATGATTCAGCGATATTTTTTCGCAGAAATTTAAGGAAAGTGCTTTTCAGATTGTGGATTTCAAATCCGCATTATAATCATTTTTCAGAAAAAAAACCAATTTAGCTCAAATGAAGCTATAAAAATTTGCTATGGTAAAACACCAAAACAAACGCTACGCGGCAGATGCATTTTTAGACCCATATGAGCCCTTCATAAAATTTGTTTTAATTTAAAAAGCGATGTTTTCAGTTTCGAAAACTTTTTTTTCGAGAAGCGATTTTCAAAAAGCGACCAAAAATTTTTGGCTATTTCGGCTATAAGTAAATGATCAAATAAAAACAATTAAGTTAGTTGAGAGGGAATCAGGGCGTACGAAACAAAAAAAAAAGTATTAACCAGAGGTTTTCAGTACAAGCTGTACAAAACCGAAAAAATTATGATTTTATTGCAAAAAAATTTTGCCAAAACACTATCGTGATAGGGCTTTGGGATAGCTCCACTTAAGTTAATAAAAAAAATTGAAAAAACAGTTTCGGCTATTCGTGTATTCCGCTTCTTGACACGCCACCGCGCTGATTTTTTTCCACCGCGCTTATCGGCATGCCGACCACCTGGATTTTTAATTCTATTTTAATTATCGTTATCCTATTTTTGAAGTTTAAGTTCATGTTTCTCTCCCTAGCAACAAAATGGCAGACAATTTAGGAAATATCCGTAAAAACGAAAAAAAATAATCGATGGTTCTGCAAAAAAGTCTCCTTTTTTTAAGAAAGCTTCAATTAATGTATCCGATTGGTTATAAATTGGAACAAAAGTATGAAACTCAAAACGTAGCTTTCACATTCCCGATGATCGATCAATAAAATAAAGGTGATGAAAAATGATAAAATGATTCAGCGATATTTTTTGCAGAAATTTAAGAAAAGTGCTTTTCAAATTATGTGGATTTCCAATCTGCATTATAATCATTTTTCGGTCAAAAAACAACTAAACTCAATTGAAACTAAAATTGCGCTGTGGTTAAATACCAATATAAAGCCCTGCAAAAATATTTCTTATTTTAAAAAGCGATGTTTTCATTTACCAAAAACAAATTTATTTTTTTCAAAAAAAGATGTTTTCATTTCCAACGCTTGGGTGATTTAGTGCAAACATTTTTCCGTGGCTATAAGAATGACATTTTGGTCCCTGTAAAAAGTAAGCATGGAAGATCGTTTTCGTCAATTTAATGATAAAGAGGGAAAACGCAGATAAATACATGAACGTGGAATTCATGGGACATGGGACCCATCATCTCTATTTTAGGGACCCAACCGACTGTTTCCAAAAAAATGTGACTAAGATCAAAAACAATATAGGAAACAAAAGTGATAGGTTAGTTTCTGAGTGTAGTTCAGATGATGATGATTTATTGATTTTATTTACCACTTGTCGATTGTACATAAGGTCGAATGACGACATGGTTAAAGAAGATCCGGGCTGACTAAATGTGTCACGTGATCGTGAAGTTTAATAGGTAAATAATGCAAAAGGTACGAGATTTTTAGGTTTCTTTTAGGGATAAGGGCACCCTGAAAACTGTAGATGTACCGTGAACGTTTCAAGAGTAACTTAAATTGGTAATAGTTTTTTTTTTTCAGTTCAGGTAATGGTAATAAATTGAACCATAAAAGAAAGGATTGTATTTGGCATTTTTAATCTTAAATTAAATAGGGTTTGCTGTATTATTATAACAATAATAATGAGGATGGAAGAGGTTTCCGTTTCGCTCGAAAGTGTCAGCAGATAATAACATGGGAAGAGCGAGAATATGACGAGAGATGGGAAAAGCGATTAGCGCTAAGCGATTGGATTGTCGACAACTGCTTGCTATGCTCTTGGAGTTGGGCCCGTGTTGGCGCAATTTGGCGCTGATTGCTGCTTGAAGCTTGAGGGGCGCGAGATTGCGAAGGGAGAGAGTTGAGGAGGTTGGGTTGAGTTAGCTTGCCTTGGCCTAAGCTCGCGCGGAGTAGTTGCGGTAGTAGCGCATCAACACAGCATCAGCATCAGGTATAAGAAGGACTTGAGGACTTGAGATGGAGCAGCTCATCAATAAATATGGGAAATGAAAAATTAAAAGCAGGGATACAATTCCGATTTCAGTTCACATGGCCGCCATCTTGTTGTGTCACGCTAGTCGACTCTCCCGCACTTCACGAGCAATTCACGAGTATTATTTTATTTTATTATTTGAATCATGTCACAAATTCACTCGGCCAATCAGACGCACTCCAATATAAATGCATTTAAAATGCGCCGGCCAATAAGAACACAGACACGTGCAGCAGGAATGAATAATTCCACTCGCACGTGCGAAGACTGTCAGTCAAATGGTTGCTGAGAAAATAACCAGTAGTGTGAGAACGAACGAGAGAAGAGAGAATAAAGAAATAATGCGGCGGCACAATTACACTACACACAACCACTACACTTATACTTTTACATGCTGTTAGCCACTGGATCGAATCAAAACTGAGCCGAATTAACCCATTTTACAAAATTGTTCAATTATAATCTGAACTTGAACGCAGTCCTCACAGCAAAGAATAGAATCAATTTTAAATAAAATTTTTGAGGTTTTGAATAAAATTTTGGAACCTCTAAGAGTGTTTTTGGATTTCGGCTTTCTCGCCATAGTGCTAAACTGATAACAACTAACTTTACACGTGATTTAATTCCTTCAACGCCGTGACAGTCAATGCAAACTGCAATCGCTCTGCTGGAATTGCAGTTGCCAACTGCCTTCCCGTTAATACAAAACACAACTCAACACGAACATACCCCCCCCCCCCCCCCTCCCAACCAACTGGCGTGTAAAAGTGGAAACATTAACACTATTATCGTATTATCTTTGTACGTCTCGCCGTGACATGAGAGAATAAGAGATTCGCATAATACAAAACCCCAACCCAAAATCCTTCCATACCCTTCCCCGCTCTCAACTAAATGGGCAACCCGTCCAATCGAACGCCGACCCCAAAGACGGGATTAAAAAGGCACTCGCTCAGTATTTTCACTTTCACACACGGGCTATCCTGTTTAGAACTGGGAATTAGAATCCGATCTATAACAGCATTATTATGTTTCTTTGATTTGAAAGGGATTACCGACTGTACCGATTTATACCAACTTAATTTGGCGATCGGGGATTTTGTTCGGATCTCTTTAAATATTTCCTCCCCTGTGGCACCTTGTAAAGAAAAACCACCCCTGTAAAGACTAATTCACAAGTTTCACCATTTTACTTTAGAGAGTAAGGTATAAAGAAAATCAAATTCAAAAATTTTGATATTTCAACTTTTGATAATAAAGTCCGGTTGCCATTTAAATTGGCATTCTGACTAAGTAGGCTAATCCAAACATTTTGATTCTTCATATCTTGACTTGAAAAACCATTCGTTGCGCCATAAAACTGATGCTTATCTGAGGTGGAGGGATTAGCGAGGAGTTTCAACTTACCAATGGAATCCTAAATAGATAGTTGTTAAAAAAGGAACCTTTTCAATTAAACCCCCACCGTCACCCGCCCTACCTAAATGGTTTTAAAAAATGGTTTTCTTGCGTCGAACAAATTCACGATAAAGCCCCTATTTTGACCAAATTTTCTGCGTCGTGGGAAAAACACAAACGGACGAAATGTTTTAAGGCATTTTTTGATAGTTTTGACCAACAAATTGCGTTATTTTGGCGCGCGTTTCCCCTCAAAAGTAATATGTTTTGGCGCCCCAAAACCGCCCCTCCCCTCCCCCTCCCCTCATCCGCTACTGGTAAGAAAAGAAACATAAGCACATAAGCACATATCAACAGCACGGATTTAGCTCGTAATACTTAGAGATGATTCTATTATCACCACCAGCTAACTTTTTTGTGAGGATGATGATGTCATAAATGTGTATTTGCGTCTTATTGATTGATCGGTTCCGCAACTGACCGTCTAAATTCATACCATAATCCATCCTCTCTATCTCTTCTAAGCTGAGACAAAGACCAACGGCTAATACTGATAAGGCCATAAAAATTGAGTTACTCATATCCCTCCCCCCTCCCAAAAAAAAACCCAAAAAATAATCACGTCAAAACCGGTCAATATCTTAAAATCAATTCATCATTTTTTCATTCATTCCTTGATTCAAGTACTCATTTGCTACGCGTTTCCCTATTTGACGAGGTAGTATAACAGAGCCGAAATGCAAAAATGACTAAAAAATTGTTCAATAGCGTCTAAAATATAAATTTTATTCAGTGCGGACATTTTTTTTTCGCTGAAGTGTTGAATAAAAAGAAAAAGTGAAATTTAAGGAGACCTTTGAGAATCAATTTCTCGAACAGCAGCAGAAAATTCTTTTTCGTAATAGTTCAGGAAAAAAAATCGAAAAAAAAATATTTTCCTTATTGTTTTCCCAATTCCATTTAAAAAAATTGTTTCCAAATATTTTGAAAGTAGCAATGCAAGAAGTAAAAATAAGGTTGTATGAGAAGAAGCATAAACTTCAAAAAAATATATATATATTTTTTGGCCTTGTTATCAAATCGGAATATAGACTTTTTGGGTTAAAAATTTGTTAAACAGAAACACTTGAATTACTTGGTATGTTGGTTTATAATGAATTCAAATTTCCAAGCGTCTCCGTCACTTTTAGTGTGAAGATAAATAACGCCTCTCGGGCTGCAAAGGTCCTGGGTTCGCATTTGACCATAACCTGTTTTTTTTTCAAACAGGAATTATTCCATTTCGAAAAAATAGTCGGCTCATTATTTTTCTGCGTATGTTTTGTCGGCTTAGTTGCCCCATCGTAGCTGCTTTTTTTATGTTCTCATTTGATCCAGCAATTTGTGATTCTATTAGGCTTGACTTCGTATTTTTTCATTTTTTCTTTGATTTGTTTTGCTTAAGAAAATTGTCGGCCTAAACGATTTCAACAAATATTTTGTTGGTTTACTAACCTATTTTTGGGTCTTACGAATAAACCACATTCTGCCTGCTTTCCTCCGGATCGCAGAAAACGTTGAAATAGTCGGAATAGAGTTTATAGTTCAAATTTTTTTTCAGTA